GAAAAAATCAAGAAAAAATAAAGGAAAATAAGAAAAAATTGAAATCGTAGACAGGACCTTGGACAATGAGTAGGTACGTCTTGTGCGCACATGCACATACCGATTTTCATGGGACTCCATTTTTATCAATAATTACGGATTCTTACCAATTTTAACGGACTCTTACCGATTTTTAAGGATTTTTACCGATTTTTGCTGAATTTTACGGATTTTTACCGATTTTGACCAACTCTTACCGATTTTTACTAAAATCGGAGAAAGTCGGAGTAAATCAGAGAAGCCCAAAATCATAGCAGTCATCGCCTCGTGTACATATTTTACTCTTTGGAGGGTTAAAAGTGCACTAAAAAGGACTGTGCAACTTTTACCCGCCGCTGTGCATTTATTAGCCACGTGGAGGGTAAAAAATGCACAGTGTTTTTCCCTTATTGTCGCTAAAGTATAGACTTCTTTGGCGAAATTACACTTCCAAATTGTGCTTTGACTGTTTCTTCACCTTTCTGAACATGGGACAACTTCACATGCACCATAGTATAGCTCTAAACGAGAAAGATTTGTTTTTGTGCATTTATTACCCGACCTGACCCTATGTGAAAGGACGGCGCGTGTTCCCGCGGCTAAGCTAAAGCGCGATCACACCAGTCTCAACGAACGAGTTCATCGGCCATAAAAGGTGGAAACTTAATTCATCCGTGCGGGCCTTTGCGGTTTCGGCGAAAAGCTAGCTACTGACTTCTAATTACCCGTTGGGCCATGATTAGTAGGGCGACGTCGTGGATTTACATCGACTTTACCGTCGCTTCGTTTTAAGGAAGAGGGGCGGTGGTGGGCCCAGCCGGCCGGACCCGCACCTTGCGTCCCTGGCCGTGACTCCGCCCGCCACCACGGTCCTAACCTTGACCTATGGCATGCTCAGGACCCGCAGCCTCCCGCCTCAAGTCTCGGTGCGTGGAAGCTTTAGGGGGACACTATACATCCTAAACCCAAGTGTGTGTGAATCGGTATGAATGTCGCACACTTGTAGGTGCGTGAATGCCCATTCGCAAACTCGAGGGAGAAAAGCCGTGAATTTTCCTTTGAAATTCACACCCTTGTACTTTTATACGAATGACGTTCACACACATACAAGTGTGCGACGCGACATTCGCACACGTTCGGAACAAACTCCAGCTTATAGTTCTCGTCGTGCAAGCTTGCCCGGTGGGGACGACAACCATAACTCCTGGCTGGAGCATCGGATTCTCGACATCTTCTACCGACTTTAGCCTATCAAATAGAGTTGATCACCAGAATAAAGTCTTTTTTTCTCGTGTGTTCGCGCATCACTTTGTTTCAGCTACAATATGGCTTCTTTTTTTTCACGTTTCGAATCATTAACGCCGGTGGGCCGTGTACGACTCATCGGTGGAAAAACCAAAAACTTTCCAGTGGTGGTTTCGGTTCGGAGGCCTTTCCAGAACCGCCTATGCCCATCAGTGTTCCTGTTTTCCCATTGGGATCGGGCGGCCCGCTCCGTCCCGACCCGCCCGACCCGACCCCGACCCGCGCTATGCATAACGAGGATGGTCTTCAGACTGGCTGATCGCAAAAATAGAAGAGAGGAGCAAAACGACCGTGTCCTCCTCCCCCCGCCGAGACGGGTGGTCCAAGCGAACGTAATAAATAACTTCCGAAACGAAAATCTGCCATTTGTCGCCGCTGTCCGGTGTCTCTGTATCCTCGGTGTCGGGAGATCGAAAAAGGCACGGCCAAGCGCTTCCGCCTGGCCGTTTCAGCAGCTTCAGCTAGCTGCTCGCCGCTGCTCTCCGCTGCTCTCCGCTTCTCTCCGCTGCTCGCCACTGCCCCGGTCAGCTTTAGCGTGTCTGTCTGGTCTCGCACCTTGATCTTGTCTCGCCTCAATCGGATCCGAAACGAGCCGCAAACGACGTCTTGCCATGGAAAATGGTCTGCGGTGGGAAATGTTTATATTTTTCCGCTCGTGTGTCATTTCCTCCTTTTTTTTTTGTTTGGTCGCACGCCATTCCATATGCAGCACGCCGCTCACGTCCGGGGGCAGGGCAGGGCGCGGGTCGTCGCGGTGGCGGCGGTTTGTCGTCTGGTTCCCTCTCTGTTTTGAGGCGTTTTCGTGAGGCTGGCCGCAGTTTGCCATGTATGGCCTGGCCTCCTGACGGGGGGACGCGCGCGACATGGGATCCACCGCGCGCGCCCCGCACCCGGAGCCGTTTGCCAAGAGTGTAAAAAAGTCGGAGAGCTTTTATTGCTCGTATCAAGCGCTTTGCTGCTTTGTCTTTCTGCGACTATTGCCGCGTTTTTGTTTGTTTTTTTCTGTGGTTTTTTTTCTTGTGCATTATTTATTGACTGAGCTGGACGGATGTGGCATGTACAGTTGTACACGACTCTGGAGATCATGTACTGTTCGCGCCTAGACTGGGTGTTTCGCGTATCCTTGGCGGCCTCAGGCATCGTCCGCCTTGTCACTCGCCCGTCTTGCCATTTTGCGTCTGCGTCTTTGCGGCTACTGCAAGGATAGAGGACGACGACGACGTTTTTCGCATTGGCGTCTCTTTACGATGATCGCGCGGGACCCATTCCGTCTGTCATTCCATTGATCGTTTGCGTCTCTGTTCCAGGCGAAGGGGTCCGGCACGCGGTTTGCACGCAACAACCCGTGAGTATTTTTTTCTGCGCGCTGCGGGCTGATCCTGGCCGTGGGAGCGCGGGGGCCCCCGGTTATGGACTGTGACGGCGGTGGCGGCCGGCAGTTCGAGGGCCGCGATACTTTGCTCCTGGAGCGATGAACCTTTCTGGTTCCCCGCGCTGCGCGGTAGTGGTTTGTGGGGTTTCGGGGGCTTCCCCCTTCCTTCTTTTAAATATTTCGGACGGTGCGAGGAGGGTCGTCGGGTCGTCCTCGCACTCGCTGCGGGCGAGTGACCGAGTGAGGCGAGGGTCACCTTCGATAATGGTTTATAAAATTCTTCGTGTTTATCGCGTCTTGATCTTTCCCTTTTGACTGTATGCACGAAAAAAGCATCACATTAGCTGTAATAGCGTAATAGCTAACGCATTCGCTAATTTGGCCTTTCCTCAGAATATCTCGCTCTCGCTTAAGAATCATTAGCTGAGAGAGAGCTAAGATATATTAGTTAGTCCCCTATTTATGGACAACTGTTTTCACTAAAAAAAATTTAGGTCTCTTTACTAGAATCAATTAGCTGGAAGAGCTAAATATATTCTGAGTGAAGGCCAAACTAGCGATTGAATGAATCAGCTATTTTAGCCAATTGTTTTTTTTCTTCTTTCGTGTCACAGTAGTAGTGGGCTGCTTTTACTCCGTCACCCATAGATCGCAAATCAGCGATTAGCCTTTCGCCTTCTTCTTTTTTCCTCTCCCCTCTCGATTGGATAATCCTGGTTTGTTTACTGTCCCCTTGCCCTGCCACGCGCTGACACGCTGCACCGCCGTGCTGAGCGTGGCTGAGCGTGGCTGAGCGTGGCTGAGCGCCGTGACCGGTTGGCGCCCCGCGCGCGAGCTCCTCAGGCTCAACCGCGCTGGCGAATGTCAGGAGGACGACGGCGCGGCGCGGCGCGCGGTTGGGACACCCCCGGCGCCCCGGCGATGAATGTGTATGGAGCCGGCCGCCGACTTGGCTCATTACCTCGTTTTGTGGCAATCTTTGGCTTTGGCCGCGTCGCGCCCCGCGTCCGCCGCGCACACACACACACACACACACACCGTGTGGGAACCCTTCTCTTTTGATACGAGGAAACGTCGCGGCCGTCGTCGTCGTGGTGGCTGAGGCTGCGGCTGAGGCTGAGCAGGCGGGCTGAGGCCACCCGCGGGCCCCATCAGCCACTAGGCCCAGGCTATGGCCAATTTGACATGGGCGTCACGTGCTGCGTCGCCGTGCGCGGTGCGGCGCTCTACGCGCGGCTCCGCCAAGGGTGGTCGTGGTGGCGCTGGCGCTGGCGGTGCACTCACATAGAGTATAGAGTCGATCGGCTTCTACCCGCAACAACCTTGCGCATCGTAAAAGTCGTTATGGGCGGTCATTCGGTAAACGATGCGTGTGATGCGTTTTTTTTTTGGTGATGTTTTACATTTGTGCGAAAGCCTTGTGATTGTAAGGAAAGGTGTTGCGTAAGGGAGCCTGGGGTCCCATGGCGAACATTTTTTCAAATTGACCCTGACTGCCTATTTTGAACGATATTGTCTATTTCTCGACGTAAGATGTTAGATTGGTCTTTGTTCTTTCTAAAAATACTCATATCGAGTTCGTAGCACCCTTAATATTAAAATATAAGAGATTTTAGCAAAGCTCTGCAAAAGCTCATGGGACCCCAGGCCTGGGGTCCCATGAGCCTGCCCTGGGGAAACGTAAGCCTTTGCCAATATTAGGCAAAAAAGTAGAGCTATTCACATTCGAATCAAAGGGAATGATAAATATAGTCTCTATTTATGCACCTGATCTGGTATAATAGCTTTGTCGCAAGAGAAACAGCAGTAGAAAATATTATTTATGTTTGTAGTAACCGTACAGCAAGATCAAAGTGAAAAATTCTTCGGAATCGAAATTTGATTATGGTAATGCTGTTAAGAGGCATTTCACTAAACAAGCACACAATATATGAAGGAAAAAGAAAAAAACAAATTTTTTTGAGGCATACGATGGGGCATACGGGACCCTAAGGACCACTAAGCCCATGGGACCCCAGGGTACACTTTTCGGAATAAATGTTAAAATTAAGTGAATAAGAGGAGACTTCGCCCGGAAGTATAGTTCTATAATATCGTCGAAAGACCACGGAACAGATTGATACCATTACAGTGACTGAAAGTGGACGTTTAAAGTATGAAACAAAAGGTCAAAGTGAAAAGTCAAAAGTTACTTTTGCCTGAAAATCGCCATTAAAAAGTTTGACCGCCACTCACGCCTGTTGAATCACTCATAGTGGTAAGCCCAGGATCGGTTTCGAACAACCACCAGACCGACAACTTAACAGCAGTTTTGATCAGTTACTCTGATTTACTAATGCTGAGATATCGGGCCAGGCTCATGGGACCCCCAGGCTCATGGGACCCCACGCTCCCTTAGACCCCGTACTTTTTGCTTATACTGTACCGCATTCACGCACTGAAAAAAACTAACGTGACAACTAACGTGGCATGTGTCACGTTTTCTTGATGCCAGAGAAAACGTTTCCTGGTGCACTCTACCTGTGATGCCTGTGATCCTTTTACATTGAGGAGAGAGCACCATGAAACGTTCTCTCCTAAGAGTGCATGACCACATGTGGCGCCTGTGACATTTGTTTTTCCAGTGCTTTGGGTTGCCTACTTGCTAGGCGCTATGAGACACCGTATCCTCGTCGAACGTTGTTGCATGCGTGGATCCGTAGTCAAAGGGTAATTTTCGGAAGGGGCTTTATTCTCGCTATCTGGTATCGACGCAACAAAGGTAAATTTTTCACTCTGTTTGGGCTTTTCTCGGCGTTCGACCACAAACCGACGCAGTCGATTTCAGCACGAGAAAGAGATTATCTCCGTACTGTACGCCCTGTCGTTTCCGGTTCTAAAACTGATGGTTCGCAAAAACGCATAACGCAATTATCGCTAACTACTAGACATCTTCATGTGCTTAACGACATGCGCGGAAAGATTCTTCTGACAGGACGGCACACGCCGCTTTATTTTTACAACCATACTCTGTTGTCACGCCTCCCTGATGGTCGTGTGATTTTGCCACGCACTTTGCTGCCAGATCGTCGGAAAAGTTTTTAGTATCATTTGCCTCCTTGTGGGTTTCTCCGGAAGACGCCAGCAAGCGCCCTGTTTACTTGCAGGCGATTGGATGACGATCCCTGCCGAGAATAAAATCGCGTTTGGAAAAATCCGTCGACGCCCGTGTGTGTGTGCGAGAGTCACGGAGGCGGTGGACTCTTGTTTTCTTCCGGACACGGCCGGCGGGGCTCCCAAGGCGATATGCGAGGCTCTCTGGCCGCGAGGCGCCCGACTGACCGCTGCGGCGGGCGTCGGCAGGTTTCCTCGCGGGGGTCGCGTTGGTCAACAACGGAAGCGCGCCCGAATGTCTAAATAATGGCACCGTATATTCATGTGCAGTATGTGCCAACACTTGTCACCGAGGCCGTGAGAGCCGCACGAAGCGTTTCGTTTGTGTCGCTCGCGACGCCACCGCCGGCCAGGGGGTACCTTGCGTCGTTAGCGAGAAGCGAGCCGCAGGTCGTTAATCCCGACGACGAGGCTCCGATGAAGATGACCCCGCCGCGTCGCTGATCGTCCTGCCACTCTATCGTTGCTGGCCGGCGCGGTGACGGAGTGACGCTCGATCTCGATGTATGTGGACATAGTGGTCATCGTCTCCGATTTCATGATTAGACTTTGGGGCGGGCAGGGGCGGGCTAGGAGGCAGGAGGAGGGCAGGGCGGGCAGGGCCCTGCGGGGGGAGGAGGGGTCGCTCTCACGTGCGTTCACGTGTGCGGCGGCGGCGGCGCTGCCGTCCGGCTTGACCGCTCGCTCATCCAAAGTGCCAAAGCGCGGGGCAGAACCGGATCGGGCCGCGCGGTCGCTGGTGGGGGGAGGGCCCACCGCCGGGGCCCGGCCCGCCACTGACCGGCGGCGGCGGCGCGCGCTCCGTGTGGCGTACGCCCATCAGTCTCTGCTTCGACACGCCCGCGAGCGGTGCGGGAAAAGAGAGAGGAAGCTGAACGAGCCGGACGAGCTTGATAGCCCACCACGGCCCTTGTGTGGTGGTAGTTCGCGATCCTCGCTGCAGGTGTGTGTGTGTTGGTGCTGGTTTGTGTGTGCGTTCGTCGTGTGGGAGCATCGCGCTCGGCCCCCTCATCAGAGACTGTCTCGCTCCTCGTCCCTCCGCTTCGCGGCCAGCAGGGCGAACCGCACCCCCTGCCCTGGACGTGCCGTCCTGTCCGCCGGGGGAGGTCCCGGACGCACGCCAGGGGGAGGATTGTTCGCCGCCTAGGGGACTGTCGCGGGCGCTCTGGCCGCGCACTGCCGCGCTGCTCTCTTGTTTCATCTGCCCCCCGTGTGTCGCCTGACGACGCATGCTGACTCCGTCGCCGCCACTGTCAGCGTGTCGGGCTGCTAAACGCGTGGCTCGCACCGCACCGCTCAGGACTATATTTGCTGCCCGGCCCGGCCTATACCCGCGGCCGTTCAAGTGTGTGACGCAAAGGAAAAAGAAGGCGAACAGAACTGGACACATGTGTGTGACTCAACCGGACCCAACCCTGATTTATCGCTCGTCTATATCACGACCGCCCGAGGAGGTGGAATGGGGAGGGGGGAGGGGAGAAATTACCTAAATTCTGGAAAAAATGATTGGTATAATCAAGTGTGTGTGTGTGTGTGTGTGTGCGTGCGTGCGTGTGCGTTAGTGTGAGTGAGCCCGGGCCGACCTTGGGTGACAGTCGGGCCGGCGCATTGCCAGCGAATAGCCGTCGTGTCGCCCCGTTTGGCTCCTGTGTGCCGCTGTGCGGGGGGGTGCAGCCGCTGGAAGCGATGAGACAAAAGGGATTGGCCAAGAGCTGGCCCGGCCCGGGCCCGGGCCCCGCGCGGCCCCACCTGCATTGGCCAACTGGACAAGGTCGCTGTGCACGCGGCTGCATGCGCACGCGTCAAGGGAAGCCCAGGGCGGGCGGGGGCTCGGACCGCGCTGGACAGCCCCGTGTCATTCCTGTCAGTTTTCTGCACTGTTAACGCCGTGGTCGCCTAGCATGCCAAAATGTTGGCAGTCCTTTTTGACTGGCTTTCTATAGGAAGCTGCCAATTTTTGGCCTCCATGAATGTCAGATTTTGGCCTTCTTTCAAAAGAAGGCCAAAATTTGGCATTCAAAGAGCCCAACATTTGGTAGCCTCTAAAAGACGGCAAAAATTTGGCAGTCAAAAAGGACCGCCAACATTTTGGCATGCTAGGCGACCATGGCGTTAACAGTGTGCTCGGCTCGACTCAGTTCTCCCATGGTTTTGATTGTTTTGCTACGCGAGCAACGACATTATGACGCTGAAAATATCGAATTGCTAGAGTGTGGTCATCGCGCTGCTGCCGTGTCGCGCACATGGGTCGTTCGGTGACCGCAGCACCGGCATTCAGCCCGGCTGTTGGCTGCGGCCGACGCACAGGCCACCCCCTGTGTCTCCCAGGGCGCGGCGGCAGCTGCAGCTGCTGCACTGGGCACCCGCAGCCGCTGTCCGGTGCAGCGACCGCTGCAGCTGGCGCTCCGCCTCGCGGGCAAATATCGCGGTGCTTGACTTGCGCAAACATTCCTGCAGCTGTCTAGCCCGTGTGCGAAGTCTGGCGCATGAGAAGCAACAGTTAGAATTGCATTACTGGAGTTTTTCGCTATATTTAGTATTTAGCCTTTCTCGTTGCAAAGCCCCCCCACATGCGTTGAAAGCTAATCGATTACTTTATTTCCCATTGCAGGTTTCCTAAACAAATAAAATATGGCGCTTCTAGTCAACGCGTGGAATGGCTTCCACGAAGTGTTTGACAGGTATGCAGGTAAGAAATCGTGTCCGTCATTCGCTTTCCTGTTTTGGGTTCTCGGGTGGCTCTGGTGCAGCTCTGTGTCTCTGTCTGCAGACAAGAGGTCCACCAACTGGTTCCTTATGGGCAGCCCGTTCTACACAGCTGCCATCTGCCTCACTTACGTCTACATCGTCAAAGTCCTCGGCCCCCGGATAATGGAGAACAGAAAACCTTTCAGCCTGCGCAACACACTGATAGTCTATAATCTGTTCCAAGTTTTATTCAGCTGTTGGCTGTTTTACGAGGTATTTATCCCCTTCTTTGCCTGACCTACCCGTGTTTGCTTAACTGACGAGCACCAGCTTGGTTTATCCGGGAACGTATTTTATTTAGGTCACCAAGGATTCCTAATAATTTCTTTTACAGCTTGATGGCGATTGTTTCCAAGTTTATTTGCTTTTTCTGGAATCTGTATTACCTTGCCTTTTCAGGAAATGGTTTTCCAATTGACTGTTGAATTTCTTTCAGCCTCCACCAGCTGGGAAGCTCCTAATCCACGAAGAACCCCACTTTTCCAGTGGGGCACTTGTCTAATATTTCCGTTGGTGCTTTAGCTTTTCGGTTATGCACCAAATTGGCCGATTGTTTTAGTGCACTGTTTGTCGTAGAGAGGGTGCTATTCTAGCCGTTGAATTTGGTGACTTCCTTACACGTTTCTGGGATTTTGTATTACTCGCGGTGTTTAGTTAAGAATGGGTACCGAGGGTTTGGATCCCCAACTCGCTTTTTATGTGAGAATAAATGAGAGGGGCTTTCTGCTACAAAAGACTGGTTTTAAAAATGTTTTCAACTAAACTATCTAGAAGATTCCTCTTTTTTCCAGTAACTAATTTGTATGCATGTTTGTAAAAGGTGATAACCACAAAGAGAATCCTTGCAGTTGCAATCCACTTTTAAAGAGTGGCGCCTAGGATCCTCACTTTAAAACTTTGTCCTATTTGTGATAACATATTACTTGTGTAATATTGTTGCGCCCTTATTTTTGTTAACCAGCTATGTTATATCTAAATTTTACTAATCCTTTTCGAGAATTTGTCGCATATTGCACGTGTTTCATTTCTGGTGTGACAACCTCTCACTTTTCACGAAGAAAAGTGGCTTTTTAGAGTGGCAGCTTTGACGGTCCTATCGCCAGTAGAAGGTGCTCCATGTTCTGATCCTTGCTGCAGTGCCTGATGGGAGGTTGGTGGGGCGAGTACTCCTTGAGATGCCAGCCAGTTGACTACACAGACTCTCCGACTGCTACAAGGGTAATTAAACGAATCTGAATTACTCAGAGAATGTCGTTTGACACGCCGACACGCTCTCGGTAAAGACTCCATGATTGACGGACTATTGACACAACTTTTCTCGAACTCCGTGGACATTTCTTTGCATCTTTCCATGCGGTACTGCGTTGTGCTGCAAGAGTAAGTTCGGTTTATCCGCTAAATGAAAGACAAAATAGGCTCGCGTTTGTGTTGCTTTTTTATTTTGTCTTTCATTTCGCCGTTATTGAGACGTTTGCGTGTCGAGTCGTGGCCGCAAATGCATCCCGGAAACGCAAGTGTGTGAATGCCCATGTGTACACTGGAAGGAGTAAGGGTATGAATTTCCCTTTGAAATTCACACACTTGTGCCTCTATTTGTACCAATGCTGTTCACACACCTACCCTACAAGTGTTCAACATTCACACACTTGAGCTTGGGGAGTGGCATGGCCACGCCGCACTGAACGTTTTAAAATAGCAACATAAACCCGACTGCGACCTGCTCACACGCCCTACCTGCCGCGCCCCCACTGATGCCTGAACGTGTGTGTTTTTGTGTTGTGTCCTGCTTTGCATGTGGCCCGGTGATTCTTCGTGTTTTTGAGCTTATTGGTGGGTGGGTGTGTGCGAGATTTGGCGGAGGGGAGGAAATGACAGGAAATTCCCCCCGACGCTCATGCGCCAATGTAAATAATCTGTCATACCACTCACAGCAATTTCGCAAATCAGTAACAATCCAATGAAATTTTCACCAGGTGACGTGAAATATCTTCCGCGCATGAACGCTTTCCAATTGCATCCGATTCTTCAATTTGTTAACGCATAAGAAATTGCGTTGCTACTAAAATTCATTATTATATTGTGAAGCTAGGCGTATGGTGAGTTCGCGTTTTTGATGCATTATATATTACTTTATTGTTAGACCCCTCGCTCGATTCTCGAGCCTGAATTTTAGTTAAATAAAAATAAAGCACAGTATCAGTACGTGTAGCAGCTTTTGGTTTTTTAAACGTATAATATTTTAAAACTAAAATGATAAAATATAACTGACGATATACGTCCGATTTCTTGAACTCCAGAGTAGATTGACTTAACCCATGGCTGGCTTGTGGAATAGTTTGATTTATATTTGCCTTTGCACTGAATTTATGTTTATTGTACTCTAGAAGTTAATCGAAGTCTGTGACATTTGAATACTTTCAGCGCATTACCAAACGTCATACACAGCAAAGAGCCTGCCAATCATGCCTTAGGGATCATCCAGAAAGTGCGTAAGCTCTCGTAGCCCCTGATGGGTAGGCAACATCTGGCCTGCAGCGCATGCGTGTACTGCGGGGTGGCCTACCCTGAGTGTCGCAGGCGCCAGGCTTCCGTGATTTGCCGAAAGAATTTGAGAAAAGCGGATGAAATTTCTGGATGATCCCTCACATACTCCTTTCTGTATATTACATGGATGTCAGACGCTTGTGTATGACACTGAAACGTTTTTTGTGTGTTTCTTTTGGTGCGCATTTTGAGGTGTGTGAATGTCTCGCACTTTTGTTCAGAGTAAAATGTTCAGAAATATTAATGCACACGCTATTTAATGAATAGAAGCTATTGTTCAAGAAACCCTTGCTATTTTCTTTGCATTTGCAGTTGCTGTAGTTACTCTCTGGTCGTTTTAGAACGGCTCTCTTGTACTTGCTTTTTTTTCTTTTGTAGGATCATCAAGATTTGCTGATTCAGAGCGTTCAAGTTTGCCAAAAATCATATTCTTTCTTTGCAATAGCGTGTAGCGTTCATGCTAGTTTGCTGCTGCCATGCTGCTGACGCTATGTTGAAAGGCAGTCGGGTCTAGCTTGGCTCGCAGATGGGCAGCATTTGCCCGCCCTGTAAATATAGCTTGCAGAGATAGCAGTCTTATGGGCATGTTGGAGCATATTCTTGTCCGTCAAGTCGGTGTGTAAATATGTATTGGTGCACGTCATGTATGTATGACGGTGTCCGGTTGTATACATGTCAGTTTTCGAATTGTACTCTAGCATGCGACGTTTGCAAGAAAAAGGATGTTGGCAAGGTGTTGCCTTAACATGCCCGCCCTTTGAGAATGCCGTCTCTATATGGTTTCGCCTGTATATTTCATTTGCACGGCACCTCGCTCATTATCAATGGAATGTTTTCCAGATAGGCATTTCGGGTTGGTTTACGGGCGAATATAATATCCGATGTCAGCCGGTAGATTATTCCGACAGTCCATCTGCAACCAGGGTGAGTCTGATAGTGCTTGTCTGTGTAAAACGAAAGATGTTGCGGGTGTACCTTTATCGAGGGAATGCCCGTGACGATTTTTGTTTTACAATGTTCTCATACAGCACACCGTTTGTAAATACCGTTCATTTATAGTTTGCATGCGGTGGTAGCCAGCTGCATTTTGTCTAAGCTATCGATTTGAATGCCAGATTGTATCCGTGGTGGTTGGCGATGCGAGCTGAGCTCTGTATATTCGCACAACGAATCTTGTTGGGCTGGTGGAGGCACCTACGTCCACAACCATACCACGGACACCCGACGATAGAAAATCGAATGCCAATATCTTTAGAAACATTTACTCATATGCCTGATTTGATGCCGACCATAAACGCTGGAAAGGGTCAATTTAACAACAAAATTGCTGGAACTTATTGGAAGCAACACCTGCTGTTAATGTTTCCTGCTCAAAAAAAGAGAGAGGATGTCTATTACCATACCAGGCTCGAAAGTTACTTCCAAATCTTGCAGTTTGTATGTTAATTTGATTACCATTCTGTACAGTGTCCAGTGGAACGGCGTTTTTCAGACATTAAATCATTTCTCCAGTCTGTTCAATATTTTTCAGTTTTGTTAAATTACATATATTTTACATAATTTACACAGCAATGCAGAATTTTTGTTGACAACTTTTCTCCTATCGCTTTTTCTTTTGAATTTACAACTATGTAAGGCGCGGTCGTTTCCTCGAAACTTATCTTGTACATTTGTTTCCGAGGAAACTTCCTTCGCCTATACCATGTACCCAGACTTAATGACCGTTTAACCAACATTGCAGATGGTTCATGCTTCGTGGTGGTACTACATTTCCAAGTTCACGGAATTCTTCGATACGGTAAGTTAACTTACTCTGGACAAATCACTCAGGCAACGGCAGTGGCCACCTTGGGTTTCTACTTTTTTCTCTCCTTTACTTTTTCCTAAACTGTCCGTTTGTTTGCATCGAGTAGGTGTAGTCAAAGTCTTCCGGTGTGGCTTTGGCCCATTGAGGCGTCACGGACGGGATGGGACTGTTCAGTGGGCGTCTCCCCGGCTGCTGTGTTGGGCGGGTGACCCCCCCACTTCCCCTTCCCCTTGTCGGGTGCCGATGCCCCGCGAACGCGCTCCCCGGAACCAAAATTCAAACGCGACCCTGGACTTGCGAGCTCCCATGCGGCCAACCCACGATAGACGACTTATTGTTGTGCTTGGCAAAATATGATCCCAAGCCATTTCATTTTTATTTTGTGCGCCCAGTGTCTCTGAGGGACGTGGACTTTGCCCCAGAATGGAGATGTTGGAAAGTTATAGCAGGTGGTGTTCCGGTTTGGGGCGCTCTACTCTCCGAGCCTCGTTGATGGGCTGGGGTTTTCCAGGCGGCGCCACGCAGAGCCCCACCGGCACCCTTTAATTTTTCATAATTTGACTTTGAACAAGTAGTGTGTTTGGTTGTTGGGTCTGTTTTTCTCGCGCCCGTCCCTGGTTTTCGTGCGTTGTTATTCGGCTTCTTGTGCGGAGCGGTAATTGCAGACCGCGATGTGTCATACAAAACTATCACTTTTTGCAAGCCCGCGGGTTGTTTTTTTCCTGACCGCACCCGCCAATTCCACGGCGCGTCCGTTTCCATGCGTTATTTCCAGTCGTCACACATTTCCTAGGAATCTTTACTCGAATGATTTTGATAAATTGCATGTCTCTGGAATATATTTCCCCCCATTCCGCCGCGTTGGACTGATGATGCGGCTTCTTTTTTCTCTCTCTTCTGGAAGTGGTCCTGAATGTCCTGTCGTGTTCGTGCCCGGCCCGCGCTGCATTCTTCTCTCGTCCGTCCACCCGGACTGAATTCGCGATGTTCTGTTCGACCGGCCGGCAGCGGCGGGGAATTCCCAGCAGCTGTCCTAGGCGGGGGGGG